ATTACTTTTAACAGCGATATTACTTTTAACAGTAGCAGGAGAGTCCCTTTGTCAGAGGGAAGAAACCAAAAGTAGATGGATAAAATCCACCAAGCATACGAGGACGACGTCACTCAAAAGTCCACACAAATGGGTTCATGAATCCAGAATATGTATTTACACTGGAGGAATCCAGTACAAAGCTACCTGATCAATGAACCTATGTTGCCTCCAAAGCTTTGGATTGCAAACCTAAGCCACAACATTGACAGCAAACGCTGAAGAGAGTTTTGATTTCATTGCCTGTGCCATGGGCCTGGCTTACCACACTCGGTATAAAACTTTCTGGATGTGCACTCAGCCGTAACTCGGCAAGCAAAGGTGGCAGGGCTTGCCAATTACCATTATACGTCTGGCTAAGAGAAACAAGTGCGTCGCAACAATAATTACACGTCTTTTGAAATTGCGCCGATTTGGTTGAAAAAAGAAACGATGATACGCACAATTTTCAAACTCGCGTTGAAAAAAGCATCGATGCATTAGCTCTGTTTGTTCAACAGGTCGGTATAAGTGGGTGGCGGGGCACACGATAACTCTCGTGAACGTGACCAATTATGAACACAGCTTCTACGTGTAACGTTGTGTTGCCATAAGGGACTTGCCCAAAAATTGGGAGACACAATTCGGAGCAAAAAATAAACACTGCGTTTGCAATTATGCAAATGTGTTTTGCCGAAAGCTGCTTCTCACGATCCACGCGTATGCATGATTTTTCGCCAAACAAAAGTTTGAATTTAAAATCGTACCCCGTGGGTTGCACCGATCGGCTGTGTTTGTATAACATTAATCAATGTTGCGTTTAAAACGTATCGTACCGTGTTGCTTTTTATACTGAACAGGCCCCCCCCCCCACCCCTCGTGACTATGGAGTGCTCTTTCCAATAACATGTGACGAATCGGCAGTATTTGTTTTACCGATTCTGACTCTGCTGTCGAGACTGAAAAGGTCAAAACCACTGCACAGAGTTTGTTTGCTGAAAACAAATGTCTCTGGATAACTTCAGTCCGTAGACCCACTAAGCCACTGCGACATTTTTTACGTGGAAATACAGAACAAAAGTCTGTTTATTGCTTATTACATTTGTTATGTTGCGGATTGGTTCTAATTGGGATTCAGGTCTTCTTTGAAAGTAATGTTTGTCTCGCGGGACTCTCATTCAGTCCGAAACAGAAGAACTCAATGCATAAGTCAACAACGCTGCCTTCAAAGAAAAATATGGTATGCAACAGATGACGTTTCAGGCAATGGCACTTCCATTAAACAAAAATAATACTAATAGAGCGATACATTTGTTATATACGTTTTATTTTTAGCCCACAGTGTTATTGACATACGTGTTTGAGTTCTTGTGTTGTGCCTGTGACACCACTACCAACACAAGCAGCAACAGCAGCATCACCAAATAATTAGTTATAAACCAAGGTCATCAATCTAGAACACACTATTATTATTACTACCCCATGCTGACCCAAACCGGACTGGGATATAAACAGCTGTCATCAGTGGCATTTATATTGTACTATAAAATCAGACAAACACATCTAGTCGTGGTTTGTCAAAGGACTGAGAATTGTTATTTCAGTACGGAACATACAAAAGGCGAGGAGTGGTGGCGGTGGGGGGAGCAGTTACTCAGTGGTTAGCACACTGAATTGTTAAACGGGTGATCGGAGTTCTCATTCCTATCAGTGCAGAGTGATCCCAACTGATCCTGGGCAGCCCCATCAGCACAATTCAGAAATCCGCACTGACCTATTACTATTTATTCAAAAAATAATATTTTACCAAGTAAGGCCCACATAACTATAGACCTTTTTTTCAGAAGTGACCTGGCCGCAAATGATAGCTCAACGAAATGGCTTATCACCTGGAAATATATAGCAGCAGCCAAATACCGGAGAAAATTCCACGCGACCACAAGAAGAACATGCAAACTCCAAAATATAAAGGCGTCGGGGTCGAACCTACGACCTCCTGCACACCAGGCGAGAGAGTTAACATCTCGTCACCGCATATTGAAGTATAACCAAACAGTCCCCATGACCATAATGGCGTGGGAAGTCTTTAGTCCAGCAGTTCAACTTTAAAGGGTTGTACATTACATACATTGCATTATTACGACTGTTTGGTACTGTATTGTATCTTGTAATCGTATCCATTTATTACAGTCTATAATAGTATCCATATTACACACGCACACGTAAATACGTATACATATAAACATTAAGTGCGTGTATTTGGGTATTGTATTTCTGTTCAGAAAAGTGAGTGGGGCTTGGGTATGGGAGCATCACTGGAAGGAATGAAAGCCGTGATGGGTGAGGTAGCCAACGAATCGGAAGTTGTTCCAGAGGGAGTGCAACGCGGAGATGGAGCGATGAAATTGGCTCGTGTGTAGTTGGGTGCGCTCTGCGAATTGTGACATCGCAGAACCAACCGTGACGGACGACGATGATGATTTCACGTGGCCAATGAAGAGGAGCAACTATGTATTCGAGATTCAGTTCTGAATGAATTAGCATTTCAATTGCTTCATCTGAGAAGTAGGTGAATAGCAGATCATTCCCACCCCACCCGAAGTTCTCTGGTTACATGGTTTGGTATTTGTAGCTGCAGTCGCACAAAGGATTGAGAGTGTTCTTTGTATTTTATTTCACAAGGCATTCATCCAGCAGTGGATTGCCCGTGGCTATGATGATGATACGCTGCTAGTTTTGTCTGGAGATTAATGGATATACACCGTCGTGAGCACACCGCGCGCCACGTTATTTTTATCATGAACCGCACCCACACATCTGGCTCAGGGGCAAGTTGAACTTTGATCCAACACTCATAAAAATACCGTATTCTTCCGATTACAAAATGCAGATTCTCCCTCCCCCAAACACCTTGTGTCTTAAAGCAAAGGTTGTGGGTGCGGCTTATAATCCGGAACTTGAGCGTGTGACTAAATGTATACTGTTACAACCTTACCGACAACCGCAAGAATACTTTTTTAGTGCGTCTTACTTTCTGGAGCGTCTTAGGAGATATGTAATAAACACGTGTGTGCCCACGTAATTCCCCCTTTTTGGCAATGCACTGATGATGGATGAGGGTCTCCGCACAGGCATGTGAGGGTCGTGGGAATTTTTTTTTAATTTCCCCATGATACTTCACGTAGAGCACTTCAATACGCTGCTGGTTCCTGCCAATTTGTTGACCGGGAGGGGATCATAGAAGTACAATACAACAAAACATTTTTTTTGTTGCACTGCAAAAACTGTAATATATACCCCCGCAGAAGCCTACGACACCTGATTTATGGGTATGTGGTCACCCATACAAGGAGGGGCCGAAGTCCCCGACTCAAGTCTTCCTTTGATTAGAGATGGAACGAGATGGAACGAGATGGGGCGAATTGTGGATAATCGTATCAATGGCATAACCAGCGTTATGCCATTGACACCATAACCAGCGTTATGCCATTGGCAAAGCACATGATAAATATTGCTCAACGTATATTTAAGGACAGTCATTTTAAACTCGTGGGAGATGTATTTAATTATCATTTCACTAACGGAAATTAATGTTGCGGTGGCTGGGTGCCAAAAAGCACGTTAAAACATTGGCAAATTCCATTAAATGAGCGTTTGGCTGGCTGCACGTGGGAGGAAACCGGAGAAAAACCATCGCGCATACCAAAGGGTTAATGATGAAAGCTGCGCACAGATGGATTCAAGAATGCACTGATGCAGTGATATACTATGGTCTTCTCACAACCCGATGATATACACAACACCTCGGCACCATCGTAGGCAGTCGCCCATGCAAATGAGATCCAGGCTCGGCCCCTGCTTAGCCCTCGAGAGCTATTGAAAGCAGACGCTTTTCCAGGTGATTTGGTTACAGGTAATATTTCATACGTATATATTTAATCTGCTCATATATATACCCACACACATGGAAACGGGAGCATTCGCAGGTTAATGGAATTATCCAAACTTAATGAAAGTTGACTTGGGCAGGGCACGTCGCTCGAAGCCATTGGATGGCAGCCAAAGAATGCAACGTGCCCCAGAAGGCGTCCACAGAGGAGACGGAGTGATGAAAATCGTCGCGTGCGCAGGTGGCACGGTGGATAGTTGGCACCGTAAGATTGGCGAGAGAAGTGGTGGCGACGGCGGCGGCTTGAGGCCTTCATCCAGCGGTGGGCTGACCATGGCTAAAGAGGATTATGTGCTCATAGTTCAAGGACATGGTGTTGGCAAGACTTATACCTGCCCACATCTAAAGTACAGGTGTGCCGGCCCGCATATAAAGCGCACGTGACTGATAGACGGCACAGGCGAAAAGCCACAGAAATTATAGCACATCAAGTAAGTAAATGCCCACAACCATTCTCCATCCACTGATGGATTAAAGTCACCCTACGCCATGTCGATCATGCGAGGTTTTTATTTCTATTACCATACTTCAAAACGCTGACCCACGCGGTTTTGGTAAAGAGAGGGGGGAGGAAAAGGCAAACAGTCCCGATTCTGATTTAAATGTGCCACGGATATTCGCCGTGGCCGGGAATTGAACGCAAGTCGGTTGGGTTCGTGGCGCAGTGCGCTACTAACCACTGCACCATTTCCCACATACATACAAAGATCTCCCTATAGCTTTCAACGGACTGCTGGGGCAAGTGCCGTTAGCGAGCACCTCTGAAGACCGGAATGGCATAGCAGGGGGTGGGTGGCCAGCACCACGCCCGGCCACCTTTGTCTCCCTAGTTGGCGATGTTTACACATGCCACTGAGTACTCATTTGAAGCCGAGTCGACCTAGAGGAGACCCAGGAGCGGTTCAGACAACCATCACTGGCGTTGGCCGTGAGCGGGAATAGGCTTCGTAGCGCAGCAGGCATACCTTGCACGCAATCACATTTTTAAAAAATGACAATGGTAATGAACAACGTGCATATAATGACACCTTACCCAGTATCTGCTTCCGTCGCTCCGTGTGCGGCTGTTCGGTATAAACCCACTCGAAATCAGTTCTTGTCACCCTGTTCCCCATGGTTCTCGCAGTTGCCGGGTCTCTACGCCCAGGTGTATTGTGTCGATATGGTCGGGTCGTGCCTTCACGTGGAAGATAATGTAGGAGGCTTCGAGTGGGGACTTATTGGAGGGGCGGGAACATCAGAGACGTGGCTTGCAGGGGTGTGGTTTTGAACTTTCAGCCAACCACATGAAACCAATACACTCACTCACACGCTCACGAACAAACCATGGGAAATCCACTCACGCACCACCAACTTACACGAAAGCCACTCACTTAACCACACACCACCAACCACACAAAACCCACTCAATACCAACCACACCCCACTGACCGCTCGGAACCCACTCATTCACACATCGCCAACCACACACCACTAACCACACGAAAGCCACTCACATACCACCAACCACAGCAAATCCACACACACTACTAACCACACTCGACCAACAACAACAACAACACAAACCCCGCTTACTACCAACCACACGAAGTCAACTCACACTCGAGTGGTCGAGTGAGATTTTCGACTTTAGAATATTTAGCGACACCTAGCGACTTTTTTGAGGTTCGTTTGGCAACTTGCTTAAAGGAGTTTGTAACACTGAGAGCGCTTGCACTATCAAACCTGTCAATCTGAGTTTGATTCCCGGCCTCGGCTAACATCAGTGGCAAGGGTTCTCTGAACCGATCCTGCCTGCCCCTTTCACCGACAACCTGAGTTGTCGGTTTAACAATTCAGCAAGCAATCCCTATTATTGCCAAAAAGGGGCCGCGCTTTGACAACATAATTATAATATCCTTTAATAATTGAACAATTCATACGACCTTTAAGCATTCCGAATGAGCCCGATGTTGCCAGCTCTCGGAAGCAAATAAGGTTCAAGCCTGCTTAGTACTTGCAATGGTAGACCGAGATGAATACCGTTTGCTTTTTTAGGCTTGGGCTACTCGATGGCCGTAATATTGTGCTATTAAATCAATGGATTGTTCAGTGTCATACTTCACCAGACTACTCAGTGCGCGTTGGTGAAGTGAGGACCTCAAGACCACCACCCGTGGTAATCCACCTAGGGACATGCAAAACAAACTGATTGTATCGCTGCATCTTCTCGGTATACGTACTCTCTCGAATGCGATCTATTCATTGCAAATGTGAAATGATTAATCATTTCACATTTGTATTGTATACTTTCAAAAAGAGAATGTCCATGCAATGGGATTAGGTTGTTGTTTTGCTCTCTTGAATAAGAGACAGATGGTGTCAGTGGGCTCACACCTGCTCATGAATAAAACTGTTTATCTCCAATTATAGCTGTGGTTGAGCAAAACGTCAACCTCATTTACATGGATTCGTTGAGGGACAACTCGAGGTACATTCTCGCCATCTGCTGGTGAATATTTGGTGATGCTGCGTGTGCAGTCGTGCTCAAGCACATCGCAAAAATAAACTCAACACGATCATCAAGAAAACTGTGGCCATAAAAGGAAAAAATATAAGGCGACGATTTGGGCAATGGTTTATGTCCAATTAATAAGGGTCATTGCCCAAAACGTCACCGATTATATAAACTCCCACGTATCCAAGACGGCTGGCCAGAGTGGGAGAAGTGGGCCGAATACCCGCTGAGAGCTCCCTCCAAAGGAGGCTCTTCCGTCAGCACTAGCATGAGCAAGCAATTGCAAGGACTGCCCTTTGAAATTGCTACACAAAAGCTACATCTTCTCAGAGCTTGATTTTTTTCTCCCATGCAAGCCCCTGGTACACATTGACCTTTTATTTTAAGAAAGCACCATTTGAAAATCTCACATTTTCCAAAAAAAAAGAATTGTAAAAAAAAAATTGTATTCAAGTTGTAATATAACTCGACTCTCTCTCCTTTTGCTCTCACGAGGCACGTGTCTGGCCACAGTGTGCTCCCCCCATCGGCTCAATAAAGGCAACAAATGAGATCTCGCGAGAGTTCGCCGCGGCTCTGCGCCCTCCGCCACCACGGCGTCACCAAATCTCGCGATGTTTGGGCCCCCACCCCACACGCTGGAGGAAAAGGGAAGAAACTGGAGCGGCCGGGAGAGCCACTGGACCTGGCTCAGCTGGAGCCACAGGAGCAACCACTGAAGCTCGTGGCGCTACGAGTTTCCCCGGGAGACGACAAGAGGAGCCAAGCCGCTTGATCCATTCAAGTGAGAGACATTGGAGACACTGGATCCGTCAAAGCTGTAGCCGCCAGATCTACTTGGAACCGATAGAACTGGAGCCGCTGGATCGAGCGAAGCCAGCAACGCTCTCGTATAAATCGGAGCCACGCGAACCATCGGAGCTGGAGCCGCCCAAGTCACTCGATCCAGCCAAGCAGCTGGAGGAGCCACGTGGGCCACCGGAACCTCCGCTGGTGGTGGGGCTGGAGACGCAGCGTCTACGGGAGCCACCAAATCCATCTGGCACACCTGACCCACCAGACCCATCGGAGCCGCCCGAGTCCCCGGATCCACCAAAACCGCTTGAGCCACGGGAACACCGAGCGGAGATGTCGACGCAGGACGGGTTGTACGTGACGGACGCCACCGAGATGCCGGCCGAGATCGTGGAGCTGCACGAGATCGAGGTGGAGACCATCCCCGTGGAGGCCCTGGAGGGCATGGAGGTCGAGGTTCAGCAGCTGCAGCAGCACGAGCAGCAGGAGCAGCTAGAGCAGCTGCAGCACGGAGGCGGCGGAGGCGTCATCTCCCTGCAGCCGCTCAGCAGCAGCGGCGACGACGTCGACGAGTTTGATGATGACGATCAGCAGCAGCAGCAACACCGCTACCACCACCACATCATGGCCCATCACCTCCACCACGAGGTGATCCTGGTGCAGACCCACGAGGAAGTTGTGGGTGAAGAGCAGCTCGAAGTTTCAGCCTTCGATGACCACATTCTGGTGCCGGTGCCACTTGCTATGACAGAGGATCGGGAGGCTGAGGAGGAAAGTGGTAGTGATGATGATGGAGATGATCATGATGATGGTGATGATGGAACTCGGTACGCGGTTAGGCAGCAGCAAGATGACGACGACGACGATGATGATGATGATGAAGGGGAGGTTAGGGCTGGACAACAACAGCAGCAGCAACGTCAGCAGCAGCAGCGTCTTCTGCTCGGGCGAGCGGCCTTCTCATCGGGCCCCGTGGCAGCCAGGAAAGCCGGTGGCAGGAAGGCCGGAAAGAAGTCCCAGGTGTCCAGGCGTGGTCAGCACGGCGAGACGGGGGCCGAGAGGAGCCCCCGACGTTGGGAGCAGAAGCAGGTGCAGATCAAGACCCTGGAGGGCGAGTTTTCCGTCACCATGTGGGCATCAGGTCGGTTCAAGCCTCTGGGGCAGGGGGTGAGTCTGAGACTTGGGTAATTGAAATGACCAGCGTGGTGGTGAAGTATGGTCAAATAACCCACTCCAATCACGGCGTGAGGGAGGCCTTCATCATCCAGCAGTGGATTGATAAAAGGGGCCATTTGTCCATGTGTATTGTGACATGAGGGCCTGGGGTGAGTTTATTGCTGGGGACTGGATCAGATGGAGGTCTGAAGCCGGGTTTTATGGTTCACGGTCAGGATTTGGGGTTGAGGTTCTGACTTAAAAGAGAACATTACTGTATTTGATTTGGGTCACTGGAAGGGTTTTGTTGTGGTTCTGAGGGGTATTGTGTGGAATTTGGATGAGGGACATATTTGTTGTTGTTCTGGGTTCCGGTTTGGATAGTACACCTTTTTATGTTTGGGATAAGAGTCCGGGTGTTTAATTTCTGCCTTGGTTTGGAATTTGAGTCGGGATCGAGCCCCTCTGGATTTTGTTCAGTTATTGTTGTAAGTGTTCGGATTAGGGGATGGGTTTGAGTCTGTGGGGTTTAGGTATTTGCGTGTGGGTGCATGTTCAGGGCACCTTTTTGCAAATTGTGTCTTGAGACAGGGGTTGGGATCGGGAGGTAATGGATGAAGCTATGAGATTTGGCTCATGATTTTTAATTTGGTTGTGGGTCATTGTTTATCGCGTATAGGTAAACAGGTGAAATGCGGGATTTAATCTGTTCTACGTTAGGGCGCGGGTCAGGGTTTGGGTATTTATTTGGGTTCGTGGTTTAATATCCGTGCTTTCGTCTCACTGATGTCAAGAGTGAATTTTAAACGAACTAAAAACCCTCCGCATTCGCCCCGCTTCATCTCTCCATTGTTATTGTTGCTGCGGTTAATACAAAGGCAATGCAGCCACTCATTATCATCATCAACGCTGGTTACGTCATGGGCGGATCCTACTCCCAATGCCCCCGTCACGCCAGGAGACGTGAGGGGGAGAGGCCCGCTGTGTATTTGAACGTATTTTGCCTCCCCTTTTTAAAGTGCAGCTAATCAATGGTAGCTTTCCATCCATTCATTTTTTTTGCTTTACCTCATCATCCTCATCCCGCCAACGAGAGAGAGAGAGAGGTGGATATCAGCCACCAGGGGCCCGTCTGGGTCGCAATCCGGCCGTCATTAAAATGTCTAGTCGGGATAGGCGAGCGCGTTTGGAACGCTTCTCCCTATTGGTTCCCGCCACATGTTTCGACCAATAGGGGCTGTCGAGACGGCGACCCTCGCCTATCTAGTCTATGGTTTTGTAACTAATTTAAAATGGGCAAAACGGGTATTTTTGGCCCAACCCTCCAAAAAGAGAATTATCTCTTTTATTTCATCAGCCTATGGATAGTTTAGGTCAATGCTTTCCATCAGCATTTGTTTCGGCGCTAAACATTTCACCAGGCCATTTGTCAACCCACTGCTGGATATGAGCCCCCCCCCACGGCTCTTGCCTACATACAACTCATAAGACGCCCACTGTATTTGCAGGCCACACTGTGACCACAGTTTAAAAGGCAACACGGTGCCTCTGAACAATCAATTCAAGTGCAGTACATCAAAATTGTTTGATATATTGCGTTATGCGTATGTTATCTCTTGAGTACTGTACTCCACCCTCCTCTCCCAGGCTGTTCAATAATAAAATCGACTAATTATCGATTTGCACTGGCCATCCAGGAAACGAGATTCGGTTATGCTTTTCATGGGAAATAGAGGGCATTATGTAATTTAAAAAAATATATATTATTTGGATGATGGCCTATGGTCAAGAATAGTGACGGGAGTGGCAGCCAAGGAATAGAAGAACGTGTCCCCGAGAACGAGTCCACCAAGGAGGTTGAGAAATGAAATCGGCACTTGTGCTGGTGTTGGATTGCAATGCATCCCAGAATCGTAAAAGATGGTGGCAACTTGGCGAGGTCTTCATACAGCTGTGAATTGATAATGGCGAATGATCATGATAATGATTATTATTATCGTCCACTGTTGTGAAGCCTGCCTTGGCAAACAGGAGAGATGGGGTCATCCTAGCTAAGAGGATAGGGCCCTGAGGCTGGGATAAAGGAGAAGACACCCCTATATTTACCCGCAAACTATTTTCGTGTGGCACAGGCCTTACCTTTTTACAATCTTAGAATTTGGGCTTGGACAGTATTGGTTCTCCTTCAAATGTGAACACGAGTGACCTGTATTTTAGAACTGGAAAAAAAACTGACCGTACGGTTAGTGCGTCTTATTTACGTGCGTTAATGCACAGTTCAGTGTTATCACCTCGTGAGTTTAATTTTATCTGGGTGCTCTGGGTTTCTCCAATGCATTAAATAAACTCGCACTCAATTGGATAAATATCGCAAAGCACGAAGATCGTAGAGATATGTTTTGAGGCTGCCCTGGAGAAATTCAGGATTACTTATTGGGTGTTTTGAGATGCTTTCACGTTAAAGTTTGCTATATCAGGAAGTATAACAGAGTCCTTGTGGAAACAAGACAAGAGTCGACACTGACAAGAGATCCACAGTCGTGACCGTCCATAAAACACTTTGACATGCAAGTATATGTCCAGCAAGTTTGTGAATCTCTTGCTGAAATGAGGGCCTCCCCACACCATGCAGACAGTGAGGATTATTTGATCATACTTCTTAATGCTGGTCAATGTGGATTGGTGAAGCTGGGGCAATTAGAGAAATAGAATGTATTCTGCTTTGCTGCCCATAGTGCCTACCACACGTGTTTTATGCATCTTGGTCCATCATCTAAGCACTACCCAGGCTCAAGCCTGCATAGCTTTGAAAGTCCAATGGAATCTGGTACATTCTGGATTATTTGATCGTAGCCGGAAGGCACTTTATGGATTTTCATATACAAATTCTGCAATGTTTGAGGCCCAATGGTGTTATGAATCGTGAGGGGTCTGCTATTGTAAAGTGTGATATTACCTTTATCCAGTTTGTTTTGTTAAACAGCTAAATATTAAAATGTTTTTTTTTTATATTTATAACCCATAATGAGCAAATTATACAAGATTGCCCTTTACATGAAGTAATGCTCACTAATTATTAGCTAAAAACAAATGGATCATGCTTCTTTTTACCTGCCTACAGCCGATGGTAAAAAGTCTGACGTGGAGCCAGAAGACATTGTGGAAGAAATCATCTCGGCCGGGTCACCATTGCCCGACTACTCTGAGTACATGACAGGGAAAAAGCTACCTCCTGGTGGCATTCCTGGCATCGACCTCTCAGACCCCAAGCAGCTGGCAGAGTTTGCCAGGTACAAGGATATATTATTCATGTATTCCCTGCCTCATTCTGGGTAATGCCACGGAGTGAGGTAATTTGTTTGGGACATTTTCACACACTGGCTCACTTTTGATTTGTACATGACATCCAAACATTGTAGTTTGTGAGTGGTAGAGTAAAGTGGTATCGGAAGAGGTTGATGGTAAAACCCTCAGTACTCCCGAAACTTGAACTCATGTTATTTTGGTGGGGAGCAGTGGTAAAGTGGTTCGTGCTCTGGACTATGAAACCAGAGACCTGAGTTTGATTCTCGGTCATGTGTCATTTATCAGTCGCGAGTGATAAGCAGTTGTGCTTGCTCCTCTTCACCACCTTGCAGTGATTTGTATGGACTAGTATGGTCAAATTATTTACATGGTGGAGGGAGGCCTTGATCTAGTAGTGGATTGACATAGGGCTGTAAATTCAAAAATACAATGGCTTCTGTGAAATTATATGATATCCCATAATTAGTAACACGTGTTATTTTATTTTTGATTGAGAAAAGGACATGACCACTGGTTTAGTCAAAAAAAATTTAGATCTTCATGGTGCTTAGTGAGCATATTTTGGGAATTAATTACTTTTCATTTTTTCGGCCTGACATTGCACAAGGATGAAGCCGCGGAAGCCAAAAGAAGATGACTTGCCCAGAACCATTGCATGTCCGCACAAGGTATTTTTACGTTTTGTGAGTCTCTTTAAAAAAAAAAAGTCCATAACAATTGCATTCGTGTCATTTAGAATGATCCTGTTTTTATTATATATTTATCGACAGGGGTGCAACAAAATGTTCAGAGACAACTCGGCCATGCGAAAGCACCTACATACGCACGGGCCTCGTGTGCACGTCTGTGCTGAGTGTGGGAAAGCTTTTGTGGAGAGCTCCAAGCTCAAGCGTCACCAGCTGGTCCACACTGGCGAAAAACCTTTCCAGGTAAAATTCCGTGCATGCTGTTACGATGATATAAGGGATGGTTTAACCTTCAGACATTTTCTTTAAGTTTTACCTTTATGGTTAGATGTGCTCAACTTAATTATGATAGTTTGCTGTTTATGCATTCATATAACATAATAATAATCTTTTCAAACAGGAAAGCTTCAATACATCCTAGCATTTTTTTTCAGAGAGTCCTGAATGAGATTTTTTTCTGGTTACCTTTTGGAAAAATCCAGATTTGAGGAGGTATCATTAAAGATCGATACAGATAATGTGTCAACCCTTTTGAAGTTTATTTTTCGTTGCTTTTGAGATTCGGTTGCATTTACATGTTATACAATTAAAATTGTTCTACGTTTCAGTGCACATTCGAAGGCTGTGGAAAACGCTTTTCTTTGGACTTCAACCTTCGGACGCACGTTCGAATTCATACGGGCGACCGACCCTACGTTTGTCCTTTTGATGGTTGCAGCAAGAAGTTTGCACAGTCTACCAACCTCAAGTCCCATATCCTAACACATGCCAAGGCCAAGCACAACCAATGAACAGCGCAAATGGCCATTTCGCACAAAATCATTTTGCCATATTCTTCAGGGCATTGCCTAACCTTGTGTGCCCCTTTTTTGCCTGAGCTGCAGCCAACCAATAGCCCTAGCAAAAGGACATGAACATATTAATAATTATTGACTGAATTGTGTATTTACAATATACTGCCCTAGAATATAATAACTTATAGTTTACAACCCTTTGCCACACCGTGTGGATATTGGGGATCGACCGTACAGTTGGTAAAGGAGTGGTGGCTCAGGACCGTGACAGATATCACTCGCTGCTGATGCACGTTGAACTTCTTTCGCATCATACGTAGCCAACCGTGCTAATCGGAGGTGCAAAATATATGTCAGCAGTGGCCGGGAATCAAACTCAATTCGCCGGGTTCTTAGCGCAATGCACAAACCAATTCGCCACCACTCCACCCCAAACCTATAATTAAGATTTTAAAATATTTGGCCTGTAACCCAACAACATACTATATTTTGAATGTGTGATGTTTGTGAGAGGGCTTGTTTACTTGTGCTCTATATTGTACAGTAGAGGCCTGCAACTCTCAGACTACAAGATTTGTGATAGATTTTGATTTAAAGCTTTCGTGACTGCAGGGATTCATATTCTTGGTTCTTTCGGTAAAGTCACGTAGAAGGGAAACAATAAATAATATTTTTATTGTTTCCCTTCTACGTGACTTTACGTAGAAGGGAAACAAATAGTATTTTTATTATTTTATCGTTTCCCTTCTACGTGACTTTATCGAAAGAACCAAGTATATTTGTGATAGATTTTTAAGTGTTTGTCTTGACGCTGAAATATGCACAGCATGTATTCTATGTTCAGCACGTGCACATGTGTGAACCAGGTTTTAAAAAATCATTTGTTATACACTTCGATATGCGTATGTAGTGTTTATTTGTCAATGTTAATAATTGGACAAATGCCCTTTTAAAAAATATATCTCCTGTGGAGTGATATGTGACAACTGCACATACTCTTGTGTCTTAATTTTTTGCGTGTGATCCTTGACATTTTGTGAGACTGAAATCGGCATTAATATGTTGGGTTCTGTCTTTGTATCCAACATACCAAAATCAAGAAACTACTTTGTAAAGTATTTAACGAAATGTATATTTTTGAATATAGTATTGAATAAGATGCAAAAGATCGTAGCTCGGACTAATTCTGATCCCAGGTGGTTTTATAGGAAAAAGTACTAATATTTTTCGAGGTGTGTATGGTATCTGTTAACTATTGTACAGTATTAAAACAACAGATCTGCTTGTTGGAACTGAAACTATTAGCCTTTCCCTATTGTACCCGTTGCAGTATTGGCTGTGCCACCGATCGTATTGCAGATGGTAATGTGCGGCACATACAGGCTTCAATAAACTTTATATCCCATTGTAAGTGCGTGCAATTAAGTTCCCATTCATGTTTTTACTATAGAGTTCAGTCCTAATACAACATGTTTCAAGAGGCCACTTTTATTTTCAAATACACTTTTTGAAGTCACAAAAACATGTAGAATTTATATGATGTAAAATATAATGATGTTACCACAAAGTGTGTCTTAATTAACCTATGTTGCTGTTATGTCTATAATAAATCGCACTTGGAACCTGCATGCAGTGGGTTTATACAAATTTCCTCACTTAGAATTCGCATTTTTTGATGATCATTGTATGCCTAATTAAACTATTGATGTATTCTTTATTTTTACACCTGTGCAACAAGTGGAAAACGTTACCACTGGACAGTGTCACGGCCTCAGAAACTCCACAACCGATGTAGTAATTGAAATCCCAACAAATTGAAGGCATCATTTCACATTGCTCTTTAATAATTGCAGCAAAGTGTATAATAATATTATTGTTCAGTATGCTTGCAATTATTCCACAAGGGTGCCTTATTAAAGATTGTTTCAGTCAACATTCACACCTAGTTCTGAAAAGGGGGGTTGTGGATAGATGTATTAACGTTAGACCATATTATTTCGCACTGTTAAGTAGCCAACCGTGCTAATGGCTCTGAAACATTTGAAGTAATTTTAATGCACCACAAACTATTTTTTTCCCAACAGAAACCCAGATCTCCCCATTGTTGACCTCACATTTAATGTTCCCAGCCTATACACAGCCATTTTCACTCTTTGCAGAAATGAAGTTTGTGTATTCATCGGAAATCACGTCTATTTAACACTGTCCTGTTCCTGAGTCTCTGGAACTGGTTTTGGTCTCCCGTGTGTCTGCATCTCTCATTTTTGGTCGGATTAAAATCTCCTGCCAATCACTGGATTGATTGGCACGCTGAGGTGAGTGGTGAGTGTGGTAGGTGTGCATTTGTGTTTACTGTGCATATGTGAGTGTGGTGGGTGCATTTATGAGATTCAAAATAATGCATGGATTTGCCAGTTAAAAATAATTCGCAAACAATTACCTTGTGGCAAGATCCAACGCAGAAGCTCCCTGGGTATGATCTTCGAATCTCATGGTCCACCCTAAATCGCATCCGCACAAATCATGGCAAATATGTGCGGATAACTGATGCACAAATGGAAAAGTAAAAAAAAACTTTCCGGTAGTGTGCGCCTGTGGTCATCCAGAACAGACCGTAACAACGTATAAATGACGCAATGCCCCGATCCACAAGTACGAAGGAGACACCCACATCACAGCGATACACTCTGGCTTGACCACCCGAATGTGAAATTGTAGTTGCCTCGCATCTGCATCAGCAGCCGCGGGAAAGACGAAGAAATTGGACGCCAGAGAGCGCTAGGGAGCCGCGTTCTAATCTCTCGCCGTGGTTGTCGGTGCGGACGAACGCGTGTCGTGTAATTCTGTTGCTAAAACTGCTCCCCACGCACGCTGGACGACGTCTGCGTCTCGTTGACGCAGCCCCCCGGGACACGGTGAAAAGTCGGCACAAGTCTGCGCCGTACACGCCCCAGCGCCCGTCAACGGGACGTGTTGCGCCCCTGGGTGAGCTCGTCCTAGAACGGCCAGTGGCGCTAGGCAAGAGCGTAGGCCTCGAACAGCCCGCGTAGGCCGCAGCAATATTAACGTCTTTAGTGTATGGAGATGACATTACGATTGCCGTATTTTCTTCGTGCTCAGCTGTATTAGTGGTTACTTACAAAAATACACGTTGTATAAACAGTAATATGTCTAATGCCCTTTTATTTACATTACTGGAGTGCAACTGAAATGCGATAAGGGCTTGGTAAGATACTATTTTAAACCAGAGGCACCTTTCACAATTCACTGGCTGTAGCATCAACTTTAACCACCAGTCATTTATCGTCATAATGCCACGCATTGCCTTGTGGCAGTTGTGTCCATTGGTATCACCCGAGCCCTGCAAGCTCAGCAGGGTGCATCTCAACCCAGCCAGCATTTAGGATACGTTTCTGGTTTGCAACTAAAATTTGGATTATTGTTTTTTTGTTTGCAAGAGAGAGAAAGCCACGTAATGAAGGCACTGTTGGCGTATGGTGACTCCGATTCGGACGCAGAGGAATGTGATATTGGTGAGTGTGGTAGGACATCAAAGCCTGGGCAGAAGGCGTCATCAAGTCTTCAAGTCATTGCTGAGAGTACATCCCACGGCGTTGTGGGTATCATTGGCACTAAAAGTGGAACTGCCAGCAGCAACAGCAGCAGCAGCTGGTTGGGACTGAACTCTCTCAGCACTGTGAACACCTGGGCACAGCACATTGACGCACCCAAGCCCTGGACCTCATCTCCGACTCCTTGGCCACTTTTTGCACAAAAGCAGGCAACTGCTGAACAGAGAGCCCATGGGTTGGAGCACTCCCCCAAGGGGAAAACCACGCATGCCGCCCCTCGCAGGCCATACGTGCCAAAGAGACAAAGGCTCAGCGATCAGGACACGCGGCCACCTGAATCGCCTTCGCGTGGAGCCTCGCCACTTTTCGGGGCAATTCGACCATACGTGTCTAAAAGACAGAGGCTTGGAGATGCTGGTGACGCAGCAGACCGTGGGGGAGCTTCTGAAGATGGAAACGCCGCCGCCGCCGGCGGTGGTGGTGGTGCTGGTGGTATTGGTATGGGCCAGGGTGGGATCGGTGGAATTGACGGAGGACGAGCCCAAACGACGAGCGGTGGTGGTGCAGCCGACCACAGCGCACTCATCAGGGGCATCTCGCCAGTGGTTGCCCCTTACCTGGACTGCAAGTACTCGGGCACGCAGTTGACAAGCCGGGTCTACCTGGAGCTGGCCGGCCACGGTGGTGCGGTGAACGCCCTTCGTTGGTGCCCTGTGCGGACCCAGAGCCACCTGCTGCTGACCGCCTCCATGGACAAAACTGTTAAGGTGTTTCACGCAGTGATCCAGAGCTGTGCACGATACATTTGAAGGCTTTGAATTGGACCCCAGTTGCGTGTACGCCTGTGACGAACCAAATCGCTGAAATTAGTCCGATCTCATCAGGTTTGGGCAGATAAACAGATACACATACGGATTTTTTTCATGCAGCTGACGGGGGCTACGTGCCCTGCAGCAGATGACATTGCGGCATAGTCCATCGTTGTGTCATACCATGCACCGGCGTCTCTACGCCGCACTTGTCAGCGCAAGTTGGTGAAACTAGGACGCAATACACATAGGAGAATTGAAGTCCAGCATGACAATTTATTTATTTTCTCCAATGTCCCATATGCACATCCAATAGCTCAGTGGTCCTTAGCCCGGAAAAATAAAAAATAAAATTGTTTAGTTTCTGTAGCCTCAAAATATGTTAAGTCTAAATGTTTTAAAATCTTTTTACCGTTTTCGCCGTTTACCACTAGATGGCGGTAACTGCAAATGCGTTTAATTGTGAATTCTGGAATCCTGTTGTTTGACGGAAGGGACTTAACAATGTCGCTTATGCTAATGGTATGCAGTAAATGCTGAAACATCACGCCAGTAAATTAATTGCATCGCACGTTATTATTGATTACACATTGAAACGGGTGTCTTTCATTGAGCACCAATTGACACCGTCTGCTGCAATCAGCCAATGCTCGTCGAAAAGGTGGCCACAATTCTGCGAGTTAATTTCAGCTAATTATTGTGCACAAGTGCGAGTACAAACAAATCCAACACTTTCGTCCATAAAACTACCTTGAATGGGAAAAATATGTATAAGTGGCGACGTTTTGGGCAATGGCCCTGCTTCATAGCACATCGAGGTCAGAGAGATGGCCTATGGAGATGGACGATTGCCCAAAATATCAAGTATATATGCGTTTTCCCATTTAAGGCAGTGATTTTCACTAATGTGTTGAGTTTTTTTTTGTTCCAAGTTAATTTAGGTGATTGAAAAGTAAAGCTAGAGTTTAGTGATGTCCAAAGTACACAAAAAAGATTTCGTGAACAGGGTAGTTTGCTCCATACTGCCTTTTTCCAAGACCTAATTCCACGTTTAAATTACAAGTTTTACAAATGTAAACATTCAACCTGCTTGGCTTTTTAGCTGACTTAACAAACGCTCATATTTTATGTAGTCAAATGGCACCTGTGATGTCTACCGTCTTGTATAATACAATTTGCATGAGGTGCGCAGACCTGGCCATTGTAATTGGATGGAGCCAGCTTGCTATGCCACTTTTCAGTGGCTTACCGGTTGCCAAGGGAGAAACGCATTCATCTGCGTTATCTTTAATTTAACTACTAACTGTGCAAACGCAGTGGCAATTAAAAAGAAGCGTTGCGGTGCAAATTGGACACGCGACGAATTACATTTTGAGAGTTTTATGTTATTCTCTGTTTAATTACCTCCGGATATGCCTCGACAGTACAGTAGACTTTTGGAAGGGGGCCAGTATGTTATGTACGCATCCCAATCTGCTCTTTGATATTGAGTGCCTCCACACCTATCTGTCCTTATTAGTATCACCCCATAGAACCTCAAACGAGTACCTGGTGTGGTGTGTAATCATTGCCACTGGGGAGACAAAGGCGGTCGGGTGTCGTACTGGCCACCAACCCCCTCGTTTGCCGTTCCAGCCTTCATAGGTGCTCGCTAACAGCACTTGCCCCAATAGTTTGTTAAGGCTATATGGGGGATCGTTGTATTTATCTTTGTCTTTTGTTTTGGGGTGGTATAATGGTTAGCATTCTGTGCATTAACTCATTGGCTACAGTTGTGTAATGTCAGCAAAGCGGGAGACAAACTCATTGGCTACAGTTGTGTAATGTCAGCGAAGCGGGAAACAGAGTTTTTCAGGAGCACCTTCTTTATTAACACCTTCACAGATTTGCCCTCGCTCTCTCCCTAGTCGTCTAGCCTAGCCTTAACACAACCCTGACCATGTAACACTGATGGCGCCGGCCAAGACAGCCAACCACTATCCGGCCGCGCAATATCTAGCGAAGACGGCAGCGACGAAGGCGGCGAAGACAACAGCGACGACGAGACGAGTCCACTCCCAGAACCGGCAGCCACGAGCTCCCGCTCTCAGCCGCTTTTATGCTACCCGGTGCGGCCTGGCTCCGCCCTGGCCGCGCCTCCCTTCTCAAACCCACTAGCAGGTTCCAGGGACTTCCAGATGGGGTCTTCCATGACCCTTGCCCCAGTTCCTCCGCCCTGCCGACACAACAGTGTATATGCTCACGGCGTATGTACTGCTCGTCCACTGCAGTTGCCGTTTTTGAACAACAGTCGGCGCTATTACACTACATCTGTATTCCTGGCCATGACTAACAAGATTGGCAAGGGATATCTGGGCTGGTCCTGCCCTCACATCGGCTATAGATGGATTCCTGGCCATGACTAGCAACAGTGGCAAGTGATATAAGGACTGGTCCTACCCTCCAATTGTCTATATTTGGATTCCTGGCCAGGACAAACAACAGTGGCAAGTGATATCAGGACTGGTCCCACCCTCCCCACCCCTTTACCAACTCGAATTGACCATTCTGGTAGCGCTTGGGTCAAAACACCCCATTAAAAACATGGCATGGGGAGGCCTTCATCCATTAGTGGTTTAAGAATGGCATGAACTTGGTTATTTTTATTTTATTATTTCCACCGAACCAGTTTGAATTAGTCGCGATATATATTTTTTTACAGTTTTATCACTGTTGCCAGACTCGGCTGGCAATTTGGATTTAGTTAATGCACATTTAACCGGGACAGAACTGAAAAATATCCTAAGGGGGTCTTGAAAAATGATCAGCAATGCATCATTTCCCATAACATGTATCGCAAAACTCAGCAACCACGACAAAAAATGCAACCTACACGAAATGCAGGTGTGGGATTGTGTGGTGTGTGGGGTGGTGTACATAACAGCACCTGTGCATAACGGCACCTGTTTTTAAACACTGGATCGAGGTGACATGACCGAGGTTGTGGTGTGGTGTGCACAGGTGTGGGATGGTGTGGGTCATGGGCTTTGCGTGCAGACCCTGCGGCACCACACTGCGGCGGTGCGCTCTGCACTCTGGATGCCGTGCGGGGGCCGTGTCCTCACCGGCGGGTTTGACTCTGCCACCTGCCTGAGCGACGTGGAGACTGGTGAATAATTACTGGCTCGCCTGATAATTAGGTTGAGAATTGCCTGTGCCACAAGGCTGATTAATTTACTTGTGCTTTAAAAGGAAGAAAAAAATATGGACTCGGTAATAAAACGTTTGTATCTCTTTCCAGATGTAATGCATTTGCATAGAACATTTATAAACAGATTGTTCCATTTCGTCCTGAGCAGCGTGTATTAAGAAATGGTTCAAAGTTGCTTTGAAGGTCTTGCGATTAGAACTTTGTGATATGTTTTTCTAGGTATAATGACTATGCACCTCATTTCATATTGTTGCTCTGGGCATTCATAATTGCACTGTTTACTTTTGTTTTCACAAAATTCGATCACGCTCTGTGCTCCGTTGTGTTTCGTAGGTCAGGTGATGGCCAGGATTGACCATGGCTCGCAAATCATGTGTTTGGCCTTGCACCCCTGCCAGCCGAACCTGTTTATCTCAGGAGGCTTCAGCTCTGCAGCAAAAGCCTGGGACTTAAGGACCTGCAAGGTACTGACAGATCCCACCCCCTGTTTCATTGCATATGCACACTAGGTATGGGTTTGAGTCATACTTTTTGAACCCAGTATTTTTTTATCCCTCTTCCTTATCACAAGGGCACATGTGTCTGTTTATTTTTTATCTTTGGCTTTTTCATTCATTCCTCTTAAATTGTCAATACTATTTGCAAGTCAATTTCAATATTTTCCAAATCATTGTTGTTCCTCTTTTTCCATTTCCCCGCTTCGCTTTATCCAATCTCAGAAATCAATGGCATTAATGCTTTGCAAAACACAATTAAATACCGGTCCATCTTCATTGCATTCGCTAGCCTCCATTGAATAAAAATGACAATACAGTCACTTATATTTTAACATTCCGGGATTTTGGTGGTGGCTGCAGAGTTGAGATAACCACACAATTAAGCTGGTGCGTCGAGGTTACGTGTGGACCAGCGTTGGGATCCACGCTCTGTGAGAAAATTAATCTCCCGAATTTCATCAGTAGTCTCGGCGGGCTGGAGAGTTGTGGAGAGGGCTTTGGGGATACATAAGAACAATCTGTAATTGTTGCAAGGTGAGAATAGTTTTTTTTTGTCCCAGAAGATACTTTATCTGATTAACATAATTAAGATGATTTTCAATTACTAAAATAATAAAATAGGTCAGAGTGAATGTCATTTGGATTCTCCAGGGGTTGTCTCAGCTGCCTCAGAACAATTTTTAAGCTGGAGGGCAAGTGTGCTTGCGAACTGTTGTATATATAGGTGTTATGAAAATTGATGAAATAATGAAAATTAAATGAAATTTGCATAATTTATCCGAAATTATGTTATTTAGTGTAATTATGCGCATCAATTATGCTGATTCGAGAGATAATCGTATTAATTTATGCGAGTGGGCATGGTTATGATAATGCAGGTCGTTATGGATTATCAGGTCGAGCCTCGGTGACGAGGATTGTGTTATGAATTGGAATAACGCAATTAATCGTATGCAGTGACGCAGGCGTTGTGAGCGTGAATGAGAGAGAGTCGATTCGACTCTGCTCTTTAATTCCGTATTATCGATAAGGATACGATTACTCTCGATTGAACATTATGGATTATGTGTGTTATGGATTATGTGTGGTGATAGTGTGCTTATGATAGGTCCCCAGGATTCAGATCTCATACGCAGAACAATATTATGCAGAATTTCAGGAAGAATCACACACAAACCTTCTGCTTTGATCAATTTTATTTTCTAGCTAACTTTAATTTTTGGATAATATGAAAACTCAATCTCGGGATGTTGGAATTTCAACACAGCGTTAACATGATACCATCACGATTGCGTTGTTTCACCTCGATAGCGGAACCTGTGGTTAATTCCCGACGCGTAACGCAATCGATCGGTTGTTGAGAGAGAGATTAAAAACATGCGAACTATTCTATCAAAACCTTAACCTTATAATATGCAAACTCGTATTCTTGAATAATTACACAACACGGCACTCGGTCTTTGATTCGTATCCAATCCTTAACACATTCTGATATGCGAAATTATTATGCTTGAAATCGTCAGCACAGTACCACGGCGATGTTCGTTCATTGATTCATCAACGATTATGCAATTAAAGCGTTCGACTGAAATAATTCTGATTGCCTCATCAACGTAACTCAATGGGTGGCGATGTTTTTCGTTATCAGCTAATAGTTGACGCAGTTATCATGAGTCTTGTATGTTTAATGGGAGGGTTGTTGATTTCTTGCGTTGAGCAAACGCCTAGGTTGATTTCCTTGTCAAAAAAAAATGTTTGTTCGTTGTGTAGCGGTGGGGGAGTGAGGAGGGAGTGTGGGGGAGGGGCATACAAACGACTGCCAGTTTCTGTCCACCGCTGGCTGGATGAGTCAGCACGACGCTCGCCGTCGTCGCGCCGATGGGTGTTGAGTGCAGGGCCGCTTCCCTCTCAGCCCTGGTGACGCGAAGTTGCGCGCTGTAGCACGCTGGTGGCACGCTGTTGGCACGCGCTGGTGCTGGTGCTGGTGGCACGCTGGTGGCGCGCTGTTGGCACGCGCTGGTGCTGATGCTGGTGCTGATGGCACGCTGGTGGCACGCGCTCCCTCTCCTTGAAGATGCGCGAACGCACCCGTGCTGGTTCGCTGATAGCAGTTTCTCTCCACTTCTGGCTGAGCTGCTGCACGCTCTTGCTTGGCGTTGCTGGCCGCGCTCTTTCTCCTTGAAGATGCGCGAACGCGCCCGTGCTGGTTCGCTGACAGCAGTTTCCTCCACTGCTGGATGAGCTGCGCCGGTGCGCGCTCTTTCCGCTGCTGTAGTATCTGACGCTGCGCTCGCGGGCGACAGGTCAAGTTTTCCTTCTGCTGAGTGAGCCAAGTCGCACGCGCTCTCTTTGTTGAGGTTGTTGGCGGCTCTCTGACAGCAGGTTTCCTCCACTGCTGTATGACTCAAGTCGCACGCGCTTGGTCAATGGTTTGCTGAAGTTGTTGGCGGCTGCTCGTGCTTTTCCGCTGCTGGTTGAGCCACGTTGCACGTGCTTTCTTTGTGGAGATGCTCGAGCGCTCTCAGTGCTGATTCGCTGATACTTTGTTGGCAGCTGGCCAAGCTTTTTCTTCAGTTGAGTGAGTTGAGTCGCACGTGCTCTCTCTGTTGAAGTGTGCGAACGCGCCTGTGCTGGTTCGCTGACAGCAGGTTTCCTCCACTGCTGTATGACTCACTTTTGTTGATACATCGCGACTCAGCGATCCTCGCTACTCAGCGAGGCTCGGAGCCAGCCGCTCCATGCGACTGCTCGTCCTGTGGACGTCTTGACTCGCTGATGTCTTGACTCTTGACTTAACTTCACTGACTTTTGAAAATGCGGCTGACCGTTATATTCAATGACAATTCTCTCTGCGCAGTGGAAAAGGGGGGGGGCAGGGTCTGTGTGTGTGAGTTCGTGTGTGTGTACAGATGGCTCCTGCGATAACGATCTGTTTGCCCTGGCGTGAAATTCCTCTCTCGCGCTCTTCGGGAGAGACAAAGGTGGTCGGGAGTACCTATCTCTTTATACTTTCGACTTTATATTTCTCAAATACCATTTGGTCCCATGTTCACCAAGACTCGTGTTTGTAACTACGTCCTCCCGACACCCCTCTCGGGTTACCGAGGTTCGCATTGATATGATGGAGTTATTAGAAAGAAAAATAATTTTCATCCTGAGTTTAAGAGGTCCGTTTCCAGAATGTTGGAATCCATATCCCTTAGTTCTGTAAGGTTCTATAATGGAATATCGTTTAAGGTTAACACGTTATTATTAATGTTATATTGCAATTTTCTTTAAAACTGTTTGCCTGGTTGCCGTGTGTGGGGTGGGGTGTGTCTCCTCATCAAACCCGGCTGGCTTTTCCAGATGGCCCCTTGTGATAAGGTGTAATTCCTGCTTCTCCGCGCTGTGAGAGAGACAAAGGTGGTCGGGGTTGCTTGGGATATTGTTTAAACTCTTTCGTAAGTTTGCCCGTTCGCCTCATTCCTTCTCGATAACCTTTGATGTGACTCGGTATTCCTGCTCCAAGCATTGATTTAACAGTAAAAGTATTAAAGGTGAAAATCATTTGATAGCGAATTAATCATTGGATAATAATTCACTGATGTGTCTGGTGGCCTGTTCTTAATTGGAGTGAGCGTTAGGACCGCTAATTTCATCTTATTCTTGTTGTTGCCTTTTATTTTTTTTTGTTGTTTTACTGGCAAATAAGGAAAAATATATATATACGATTTACCCTGTTGGCGTCTCCGTGTCTACTCTCTTGGTGTTCTGACCTCGGAGGGACCTTTCCTAAGGGGCCCATCAAACTCTTGTTCATCTGGAGATTTTCGCCGATAGCTGTTACATCCTCGCCTTGAGAGTTTTATTATTTCTTTATTTATTTATGGCCTGTTTATGATCTCCATCTGTGTTTGCGGGTTTTTGGGTTTGTGTGTTTTTATGCATTATTTCCTTTATTATTAAAATATATATATCGGCAGATATTATTGTTAATATCAATTTTGGAAAAGGCTCATATACAACAGAACCCATGATGGATATAAATTTAAGAGAGCACATATAATGGCTTATTTCCCATTGTCCAAAAGTTTGGAGTAGAGTTGCCCTTTTATCCTTTCACGTCAACCCCAATATCAGCCAGGTTTGTTTGGCTGCGTAATCTAGAAAATCTTTTCGCACCCAGCACACCACAGCCAGTTTACCTCTCTCTCTCCTTGTCTGCGTCCACCAGAAACGTGCCACCCACTCCAGTTTACCAGCAAGAATAATCGGTGAGAGATTAATTCCGGGGCTATACGTACTGTGTACTCGTTGACAAAATTCTGACGACTGCTGCTGTTGATGTGTTTCACTCATAGGCACTGCGCGAGTTCCGCGCGCCCTGCCAGCAGGTGCTGGCCATGCTGTTCCTGCGCGGAGGCGACGAGTTCATCTCCAGCACGGACGCTGTCAGCCGCGACTCGCCCGACCGTACGCTCCTCGCCTGGGACCTCGGCACAGGCGCGCGCATCTCTAACCAGATCTTCCACGTGCGTGCCCTTCACTGTACCTCATTACACCTGATGCACTCGATATAACAGCGGTATATGCAAGTGGTTTTTATTTTCAGGCTTTCATGATGAAATCGTCTAAAATTTCCCCCAATCGTATTAGACCTTGGAAGCTATGCAGCTCTTATTATTTTGTATTATTTGCACCTGCATACCCAGGAAAGCCTCACTTTCGCAAGGTCTTGCTAAGTTTCTGCAGTCGGGAATGATGATTACTATGCACATTAAAGTTGAGTCATTTGCGGGGGAATTTTGTAGATTTGGAAATTTGGACCATGACGCCGGCACATAACGGCCCATTCTTGCAAATGACAGCACAGGATCCATTATGTCCACCGTGAATCAGACACTGCGTATATTTATTAATACACTCGCAGTATTAATCAGGTTGGCCACTGGATTTGAACCATGAACCTACAACAATGTACTACCACTAGGCCACGTCAGCAGCTGGATAGTGCTTAGCTGGGTGACCACTATCTGCATCAGGTGGTTATAGGCTGCCAGGCTATGTGGCTAGCAGCAGAAGGTAGGGCAGCAAAATCGATTGTTCTACTGCACTCCTGTTCTCCCTACCTTCACTAAACCTTCACTGACGGCGTAAACACGATCCTTACGCTCACGATATTTCCATCGATCGCATGTGTAAGAATCAATTATTATTTTAGATTCATATATGTTACATGTGATTAGCTCACTCGATTCGAAACAATGCTTGAAAAAATTGTTTCCGGAATTTAATCGTGAGTGGGAAATTGTGACAATTCATTTTTCTCGTTTGCCCATCTTCTCCATTCAATTACTGATTGAGTGTCTATTGGTGCACATTAATGATGTGTTAAAATGTTCAGTTGCAACAGTGGTGGGCCTAAAAATTGGACTTGAAAATTCAGCACTTGGGTGTCAGTCAGCCTTTAGATTTTTTCTGCCTCACAGAAATCCACACAGGGCAGCATTGCTACGCATGTTGTACATCAGAGAACGGACTGTATAATAAGCGCTAACATCAGAAAGTAATTGTTTTGTATATTGATGTCATCTCTAATTTTAAATCGATCTGAAAATAAACAAGCACATTTTTTGTTGATGCTGCTGCCTTTGACAGTGGTGCACACGCACAATTAACCCAAAAAAATCAACACATTTGTCAATAACACTGTGGCCTTAAAAGGAAAAAAAATGTAATCGGCATCGGTTTGGAATATGGTCTTTTATAGCACGTAACGATTTTAAGGCATTGCTTTTGATTAATGTATTGAGATTGTTTTACATAAATAATTCATTAACAATGCCTATGATGAACGTCTTTATATGGTTGCACAGCTGCACCGCGCAATAGAGGCACGGAGACCGAGTAGGATTTAAATGAGGTGAATAACAGGAATACGTTGTCCACGCTGCTTTACCAAACACTGTTGTCATGACACCTCGGGCAGATGTTAATTAGAATGAAGAGTCACCAGGGAGGGCGTTTGTCTCTAGATGAGTTTAACCAAGCTATTTTCTACCTTCTAACTACATGACCCTTTTTCCGGTATTAAGATGATAAAAAAAATAAGTGAGGCTTTTTACCCTTTATGACAAAATGGGTCCAGCATATAAAACTACTTAACCCCAAGATATTCATACTTTGGAATTTGCAGCACCGTTTTGCTGTTCGCCTTTTTGGCGCTCGTTGGTCTAGCAACCGGTGAGACAAAGCCATCAAGGAGGCTGCCTCTGGTGTAGGCCAATCATTGTCAAGGACAGTATACATTATCAAAGCATATTTGTTTGTATGTTTACCAAAAGTATGGATGGTTGATGCAGACTTTGATGCCTTGTAATTTGCTGTTTATCATTTTAACACCTATATTCTTGCCAGAAAGGGTAAAGCCTTTTGTTAATCATCATATAAGCCTTCTATTGAAAAAAAGCCTGTCATTCTGCAAACATACATGAGCTTAACCTGAAGTTAATCAGTAATGTTAGTGTGCGATGGTTGACTGTCACGTGACTTATTGGTGTGTGGAGTGGGGGGCTTGCCTTAGCTCGTATGATTAAGAAGGCCTTCCGTATATATGAGGATAACATTTCACTGCTATTTTTCCATCTTAAAATGTATGAAGCTGTAAATCCATCAAAAGATTAATGTAGTTTCATCGAGGATGTATAGCTATTGAGGCAGCCCGTCGTGCAAATACTTTAATAACGTGTCATAATGTATTTAAAAAATTCCATTAAATGTTGCTGTAAGCACTTAACCCTTCATACATGTAATTCAATTTATTATATTAACCATTATATATGCAGTTGATGTTTCATTTTCACTGAATTTATTATATTGATCGTCGACCTCTAAGGAAAAAAAACACTTTTTTTTATTCTATTCATGGGCCAAAATTTAGGCTAATCCAAAAGTTTATAATGTGTAGGTACACCTGTCAGTGTTAGTTGTTCAAATGGGCATTGTAAACAATGCAAAAGTTATTGTTGATCCATTAACACAATTTTCATTGCTGTTATATAGTGCTCTTCAGGAAGACCATTGCAAGGAACTTTACAATCCGATAGTGCTCTTCAGGAAGACCATTACAAGGAACTTTACACTCCAATAGTGCTCTTCAGGAAAACAATTGCAAGGAACTTTACACTCCAATAGTGCTCTTCAGGAAAACAATTGCAAGGAACTTTACACTCCAATAGTGCTCTTCAGGAAGACCATTGCAAGGAACTTTACAATCCAATAGTGCTCTTCAGGAAGACCATTGCAAGGAACTTTACACTCCAATAGTGCTCTTCAGGAAGACCATTACAAGGAACTTTACAATCCAATAGTGCTCTTCAGGAAGACCATTACAAGGAATTTTACAATCCAATAGTGCTCTTCAGGAAGACCATTGCAAGGAACTTTACACTCCAATAGTGCTCTTCAGGAAGACCATTGCAAGGAACTTTACAATCCGATAGTGCTCTTCAGGAAGACCATTGCAAGGAACTTTACACTACAATAGTGCTCTTCAGGAAGACCATTACAAGGAACTTTACACTCCAATAGTGCTCTTCAGGAAGACCATTGCATGGAACTTTACACTACAATAGTGCTCTTCAGGAAGACCATTGCAAGGAACTTTACAATCCGATAGTGCTCTTCAGGAAGACCATTACAAGGAACTTTACACTCCAATAGTGCTCTTCAGGAAGACCATTGCAAGGAACTTTACAATCCAATAGTGCTCTTCAGGAAGACCATTGCAAGGAACTTTACACTCCAATAGTGCTCTTCAGGAAGACCATTACAAGGAACTTTACAATCCAATAGTGCTCTTCAGGAAGACCATTGCAAGGAATTTTACAATCCAATAGTGCTCTTCAGGAAGACCATTGCAAGGAACTTTACACTCCAATAGTGCTCTTCAGGAAGACCATTGCAAGGAACTTTACACTACAATAGTGCTCTTCAGGAAGACCATTGCAAGGAACTTTACAATCCGATAGTGCTCTTCAGGAAGACCATTGCAAGGAACTTTACACTACAATAGTGCTCTTCAGGAAGACCATTACAAGGAACTTTACACTCCAATAGTGCTCTTCAGGAAGACCATTGCATGGAACTTTACACTACAATAGTGCTCTTCAGGAAGACCATTGCAAGGAACTTTACAATCCGATAGTGCTCTTCAGGAAGACCATTACAAGGAACTTTACACTCCAATAGTGATCTTCAGGAAGACCATTGCAAGGAACTTTACAATCCAATAGTGCTCTTCAGGAAGACCATTGCAAGGAACTTTACACTCCAATAGTGATCTTCAGGAAGACCATTGCAAGGAACTTTACAATCCAATAGTGCTCTTCAGAAAGACCATTGCAAGGAACTTTACACTACAATAGTGCTCTTCAGGAAGACCATTACAAGGAACTTTACACTCCAATAGTGCTCTTCAGAAAGACCATTACAAGGAACTTTACAATCCAATAGTGCTCTTCAGGAAGACCATTACAAGGAACTTTACACTCCAATAGTGCTCTTCAGGAAGACCATTGCAAGAAACTTTACACTCCAATAGTGATCTTCAGGAAGACCATTGCAAGGAACTTTACAATCCAATAGTGCTCTTCAGGAAGACCATTGCAAGGAACTTTACAATCCAATAGTGCTCTTCAGGAAGACCATTGCATGGAACTTTACACTCCAATAGTGCTCTTCAGGAAGACCATTACAAGGAACTTTACACTCCAATAGTGCTCTTCAGGAAGACCATTGCAAGGAACTTTACACTCCAATATTGCTCTTCAGGAAGACCATTGCAAGGAACTTTACAATCCAATAGTGCTCTTCAGGAAGACCATTGCAAGGAACTTTACACTCCAATAGTGATCTTCAGAAAGACCATTGCAAGAAACTTTACACTCCAATAGTGATCTTCAGGAAGACAATTGCAAGGAACTTTACAATCTTATAGTGCTCTTCAGAAAGACCATTGCAAGGAACTTTACAATCCAATAGTGCTCTTCAGGAAGACCATTGCAAGGAACTTTACACTCCAGTAGTGCTCTTCAGGAAGACCATTGCAAGGAACTTTACACTCCAATAGTGCTCTTCAGGAAGACCATTACAAGGAACTTTACACTCCAGTAGTGCTCTTCAGGAAGACCATTGCAAGGAACTTTACACTCCAATAGTGCTCTTCAGGAAGACCATTACAAGAAACTTTACACTCCAGTGCTCTTCAGGAAGATCATTGCAAGGAACTTTACACTCCAATAGTGCTCTTCAGGAAGACCATTGCAAGAAACTTTACACTCCAACAGTGCTCTTCAGGAAGATCATTGCAAGGAACTTTACACTCCAATAGTGCTCTTCAGGAAGACCATTGCAAGGAACTTTACAATCCAATAGAATCTCCAAAAATGCCATTGGCCATACAGTCCAACTCAAAAATAAGCTAACTCAAACATCCAAAATGGAGGTATTTTTTTAAACAGGTGGACTTCTCCATAAATCTGGCTGTCGCCTGATGAAGCTAGTTGTAATTACGGGCAAAACGTCGTACTCAGATTGTCAATGTTGTGGCTTGGCTCTCCAACACACCGGTGTGCTGTACTAGTATACTACACTATACACTACTATACACTACACTATACACTACACACTAGTGCTGTACTAGTGACGAATTGACGTGTTCTGTTTACGTGACAACCCTTACTAATTGGCTGTGTCAGGTGGTAGCTGGTTTATTTACACATGTATATTTACGTGGTCTAATTCCAAAAAAAATACCTATATTATGGACTTATTTTCTTTGACAATGTGTTGGGTGGTGGCGGGTTTTAACGACACATTTATATATGTACGTGATATAACCCAAAAACACCTCTACTATGGATGATATTGGTCGTGAAAACCCACGTGTTAAATGAACTCAAACATGTTTAAATACAATTATTTAAAAGATGTGTTTGTGTCAGCATTCCTGTCCCAGCAATCCTGATGTGATTTGGAACAGAGTTCCAGAGGCAGGCTGGCACCTCCGATTAGCACGGTTGACGACGTATGTGCGAAAGAAGTTCAACATACACACAGCTCGCTTTATGACGTGTTTGTGTCTCTTGGTCAAAAGGGCACTTAGCCCTGGACCATCGGTGAATAAGGAGCGCACGCTAAGAATGGAACTAGTGAACGTACATGATTTATTTTACTTGCTCGCAAGCATAATTAATATGCGACAATCTGGCCATGGATAATCAATAATTAACTGTAGGTAGAATGCACAATGTATACATCAATGCTGCATTTTCCAGGAAGCCAGTGCAATTGATCAAAGAGCCGGAGTAATGTGTTGGCACGTCTTGTTGTTAAGAATGGTGATGTTTCATGAACTATCCCCCACCTTACCCCTGGCCTGGCCTGTGTGGACAGGGGTTAGGTGGACATCTGTGAAAAAATAACTTCATAGCTCATGGGATTCCTCCAGTATAAAGTCATACGTCGAATTTGGTATGCGTCGTGTTTTGACGAGAGAAAAAATGTCTTGGGATACGACGTCTTGCTTGGGATTCGACACGCTTGCTAGAACTTGTATGGGTCGGGACGAGTCACCGCGTACCCACGTAGACCCCGTTCACGACTCCTCCCCTTCCTCACCACCATCCTCGTAGGCTATCAACTCCTCTCAGCAAGGTAAAGTGATGCTAAATTAAATTTTTATTTCAATGTATTTTAATTTATTTATGCATTTTAGTAATAAGTAGTGTCTAAATTATGTTATACAACCCCATTAATGTATAATATGCCATATAAAATATAATTTCTCATACTCTGGAACGGATTATTTCCTTCCTTTCCCTTTATTTCTTATGGGAAAAATTTCTTGGGCAGACGTCATTTTCGGCATAAGTCGAAAATTGGAACGAATTAACGACACATACTGAGGTACCACTGTGCATGTTTTGATTCTGACAGGAAAGGTACACGTGTCCCAGCCTCTGCCTCCACCCGCGCGAGCCGGTGTTTGCGGCGCAAACCAACGGCAACTACATCGCGGTGTTTTCCGCGCAGCGACCGTACAGCATGGACAAGAAGAAGCGCTTCGAGGGCCACACGGTTAGTTCTCTGGCAGGGGTGCGCGGGGGGTCGTAGGTCAAAGGGCAAGGTGAATTTGGCGAAAGGCGCATCGGTGTTCCTTGCGAGTCTCTCCTGCGTGAAGACGTTTGCCCTCCGTTGCTGTGATCTGTGTGATCGCGTTAAGTGCGTTTGGTGAATTGTCACTATACGCTGGCTGCAATTTAATCCTGCAGTTGATTATTTTCGTCTCATCTTTACTCTCTCATTTATATCAGTGCTCATATTTTTTTTTCTCATTTGACTTTTTCATGCCATTAGCCAATATGTATCATTTACATATCGCATTATTTGCATACAATTTGCATAAATATTGTACAACTTACACAAAACTTCAAGATGCATGTATCAATCGATCATAGGCATTTACATAATATACCAAATAAACGACAATTCACCAGAAATCACCAATTAATGAAGATGACCAACTGTATATTTTTTTTATCGCCAAATTCATTAATAAATGAATAAAAAACTAATTTCAGACTCGGTCAAAATCACAACAGCCCGGTACTAATCCCCTGCTTAGTATTCCAACGCTACCTCGGCCATGTCTTTTCTAATAATTTGCCGGCAATTTGGTGTCAAGGATGCATACTTGCCATGCTTGGCTTAACATATTAGCAAGCCGGGCTTGCTAATATGTTAATGAGCAGGTATTTAAATTGTAATTTAACTGGACGGGTCTTTATCGCGGGCCAGGATGCAGCCGCACAAACTGATAAATACTCGATGGCAGGCGTGGGACGTGCGGCCTCTTATCTTTAATGAGAATCATTCTCGCCAGAAATGAGTAAGAGCGATTGATGAGGCCCAGGTGCGCTGGAGGTGGTTATCGCGCGACAGGCTGTCACCCAGCGCTGTCATGTTGCCGTTGTCACGGTCAGACACTTTTAATGGATTGCACAGTCTGCCTTTAAACCATCGCTTTGGGAATATTCTTTAAGGACCTCTTTGCCTCTGTCGGTGACCATAACAACTGTGGAACTTATATTTCTCCCGCGTTTTGTTTTTTGTTTACGTAAAACTGCAGTACTTGTGCGTGTACAGTAATACCTCGATCTACGAAGTCGATGCGTTCCTCGAGTTTCGTCCGGATGATAAAACGTCGTATATTGAATAACTTACAACATTAGTACGTGAGGATGCGTTTCCCACCCTTCGTAACTTACAACTTCACACTATAAACCCTTCATAACTTACCATTCATACGATAAATAAAGACAATTCACATTGAAAGTAATATTATATTTTATACTCTACATGATTAAAATAAAATAAAAAAAACTGACAAATTAAAGAAACATCGTGGAGAAACAATGATATTCTTAATTATAGAGCACTGTAGATCCGGTCCTGCCAACCCAGACTGACCTGCATGACGGTTGAACAACCCCCATAACCAACATGGCTTGGGGTGGTGGTGGCCTTCATCCATTAGTGGATTGACAAAGGGCTGTATATTTTCTCTGATGGGTTTCCCATTATTCCTGAATGACTGAGAGAAACATCAGACATCGTACTGAATAACGCGTGGTACAACCCAATAGCAGAATCAGAATATTTATTTCCACTGGAGGAATCTGATGAGCTATAAAGCTCTTTTTTTCTCGAGATGTTCAAGTACAGCATAGAGCTACACAGCAGAACAACTGCAACAACTTACCCAGTAGGTGTATATTTTATTTCGATGTTAGTGTTTATGAAGAAGAATTTATACTCTTTGGTTTTATTCAGCAAAGTCACGTAAAAACAAATAAAAAAATCAAATAAAATAAACAATTAAAACACGACGTTTCGGAGGCAACACAAGCTTCTGTCTTCAGGTGGAAACAGTCACAGCAAAAAATCGCTGCACTGTGACTGTTTCCACCTATGTGACTTTACCGAATAAAACCAAAGAGTATGAATTCTTGCAGTCACGAAAGCTTCAAATATAGAATTAAGTTGAATTTAGTTTGTTTGTTATGATTTATGCGTGCACAACAGTAAACCAACAACCAAACAAATAAAAAATAAACGCACACGCCACGCGGAATCGACAAGTTACTTTTACACGCCTGTCATTTGCACGCATAAGGTCAACCGCAGCACGACTAACGCGTAGAGTGGTGGGTGTTGCTGGGGGAGGTTTCATTTTCACGAGGTTGATGGGGTTGGGTCTGAACGTTTTTTTTACGCACATGGTTGAGTACAGCAAGGGGGGGGGGGGTTGGGGAGGGGTGCAGGTTGAGAGGACGGTGGGAAGTGGAGAGCGAAGCGCACAAGATAGCCCTTGTACACTCCTCGCCCGCGCGGTGACACGGGAGACGCTCGGAAGCTCTCGTGAGCCGCGCGATGAGCCCCGTGATTAAGAAAGCCGCCGCCGCCACCGCCATTAGCGTGACGGATGGGCGCGACAGGGACTTTGGGTGCTCGGTTATTCTGGCTACCGTCGTGATTGATGGCTCCCTTCGTACGCAAGAGAACAGTTCTGTGTCATCCTCCCAGGCTCTCTGGCTCGCTCCGACTCCCCCCGCCCTACCCTCGCCACCTCCGCCGCAGAGTCCCGCTTGCCAAATTGTGTTACCCCCTGCAGTGCAATGTAATATGTAAAATAAGAATTGTAAATGCACACGAAAATATACAATTGTTTTTTTTGTTGTCGCTGCTGATGCTGCTGCTGCACTAGCCGCGCTACTTTGCTTCTGTTGTAGGCTGCTCGAGAACTGTTGCGATGATCCGAATGGTTTAAGCGGTTCCGGGAATTGCGAAGGTCGTTGCCATTCGAGGGTGGCTCCACATTTTAGTGGAGCTGAAAAAGGGGATTACGCGCTCATCCAAAAGGAAATTAAATATTCATTAAAGTCTTGCACTTGGCTTGGGGGAAATAGATTTTGCCCTTTGAAAAATAAGCCTTTTAAGATAATTAAATTGTCTTAGTAGTCTTTTGAAATATAAATGCACAGTGTAAGCCAAAAGTCAGGGCACTATCGGGTTATCTCATTTCTTTTAATGCTGGCATTAAAACATTTAAAAGTGGAATTTTAAATGACTAATGACGAACGAGTTCAATCCGTTTTCACGTATGCAAAAGAAGGCAGCTGTAATCTTTTTTTTTTAAGTCCTGCATTTATGTCAAAAGATAATTCATGCATGCATTCATGTTCATGGAAGTCAGCTTAAATATTTGTTAAAATAAATGAAATCACTTTATGTGAGTTGTTAAAATAAACATAATAACCATATATCCTCACTTTTGGACCACTGTGTATATATAGTCACATGTTATAATTATCCACATGATACCTAAAGAACTAGGCAAGGGCCAAACTTCTTACAATGTTACCATAAATTAAATTGCTGATTGCTTGAAAGTTGTTCAGAAATGTGAAATGGACCAAAAAATTGAATTCATTCCTCCAAATTATGGCAGCGTGCAACAATTCTAGGGTATTGCCTTCGCCTATACGGTCAGAGTAATGGACTTGCAGTCCAGAGGTTGTCGGTTCTATTCACTCTCCCTCCGTGCCAGTTGAAACAATCACCAAGTATCTTAAATGTGTATCCGCCTTGAAGTATAAATAGATAAATAGGTTACACCACAGTCAGTGATAGCAGGTTGCTTGTGGTGGGGTAAACTGTGGGTACTCCCACCTTCTTCCACAATTCCTGGCCAGCATGGAAGGAGGCCTTTCCGCCAGCAGTGGCATAAGCTAGTAACTGAAGGGTTGAACCTTTACGCATTCGTTTAGAAAGTATCGCGCACTGGGAATATTAAATGTGACGCCTTGTTGGCTTCAATCTTATATTTGTGTTTCTGTCGGCTTTGGCGCCATATGGAATAAAATAAATAAAATAATTCAGTTGATTTCATTGGGCGTGCAGTCCCACACGAATGTACAGGAAAACACCACGAGGTGATGGAATGTCTGAAAGTTGCCAATTGTATATCTGCCAACAGAGGCATTTGGTATCGAATCTACAAATGAAATCTGTTTGGGTGGCACTGCGGCAGAGCGCCCAACTAACTTCAGAAGGTCACAGGTGTCAAATTCTAGATGTGTGGCTCAACTCGATCCATCATTCCTCCAGGGTGGATAAACGAGGTACATAATGAATGAGCCTTTAGGAGCGTTATCACTTCCCCCCCCTGTTATGGATGGACAGACATATCTAATTGAATAACGCTTTCAACGTGAGAAAGTGTTACTAAAAAGACACGTTAAAACATTTCTCAATTAAAAGCAACACTTTGCGTCCTTTCCCCGGCGGGTTTTCTGGTCGCACCGCGCGTTGTTCAGCGCGGCTTTCGACATTTCGCTCCATGCGCTTGGAGCTTCGGTAGCCGAACGTGCTGCTGCTCTCCAGCATGCGTTTGTCTTCGTCGGCACGATTTCATCGGCAGTGCAGACCTGAAGATGGAGCGAAACGCGCGGACATCGAGCCGAACAACAACACGTGGGGCGCTACCCGCAAACACAGACCGCGGAGGCGCCACAGCGCAACCGCGTAAAAAGCATTTGCATTCTCGCCCGTCGCGTGCCAGGTGGAGGGCTACGGCGTGGCGTGCGAGTTCTCTCGCGATGGCTCCCTGCTGGGCACGGGCAGCGCCGACGGTTCCGCTCGCTTCTACTGCCCACGCTCGGGGCGCCTGCTGGCGTCGCTGGCGGCGCACGCCGGCGGGCCTTGCCTGAGCGCCACTTTCCACCCCGTGCTGCCCCGCACGCTCGCCACCGCCGGTTGGGATGGCGGTGTTCGCGTCTGGAACTGAGACGGTGGGGAGAGAGAGGGAGGGAGGCGGCCGGACGGACAGATGGCGGTGCAGCGGTGAATTCTTTATTTATTTGTTTGTTTTTATCCATGCGGAGCGCTGGCTGAGTGTTGTCCTCTTGCGAGGACTGTGGGGTTTTTTTCCGGCCACTACAAGTTCATCCTGTCTGCGGAATTGGCCGAACATCCCAATGCAGAACCCGACCTGAAGGAGAGTCCTGAGCCTCCGTGAGGCTGTTCTGGATAAAGAATTTGACACCTGTGACGTTCTGAAGCTAGTAGGATGCTCTGCCATTGTACTACCCAACGAGATTTAATTTACAGCTCTGACACCAAATGCCTCTGTTAGCAAATATACAATTGGCAACTTTCAGACATTCCACCAGTTAGAGGTGTTTTCGTTTACATTTGTGTGGGGACATCACGCCCGATTAATTCAACCATTTTTTTTTAATGGCTCCAAAGCTGAAACAAACAAAACACAGGATTCATGCCAACGAAGCGTCACATTTAATATGCATCGTGCGCGATGCCTTGAAAAGAATGGGCGAAGGTGCAGACCTGCAATTTATTTCTCAATCCACCGCTGTTGGAAGAGCCTCCACCAGAGGGAGCTCTGGTGGAGCTCCTTCTCGTTGGGTATTTTTGGCCTTCTGTGCCATGCTGCTGGAAGAGGTGGAAAGTGCCCGCACGGATAAAGGCGGAACGGTGACGGCGCATACTAACGGGGCATGAAAGTGATGATGAGCAATCTGAGATCCTTACGTTCACGATTTCCCGACTTTGTTGGATTTCAGAAGTAATCCTGTTAATGATGTTAGCAAGCGATATCTGATCAAGTGTCTACAAGTGAAATGCAATCTTACATGTTGCCAATTTCATGAATAAACGTATTTAACTCATTTTTAAGGTTCTTTGTGAATTATGCGTGCTGACAAGCAGATCATTAATTAGATTATTATTGCTAAGATGTATTCCTGGAAAGGTACATTTGCTACAAATAGTAGCTTGTAATAAATTCTCCGACCATGTGCTAATCTGCGAGCTATGTGAACAGATGGATGCTATTGTGTTAGATGCTGCTGGTTTAATGTTATTGTTTCACTGCTTTAGGATAACGATTGTGAAGCCGTTAGGGGATGGATGATGACATAAGGATCGGCTGCACAGAATGTGTGATGGTCTTCAAGAATAGGTTTCACACACCGTGTATATTAATGTGCACGTGACGATTATTTGAATCAGTCTTAGGCCTCCCCTAGGTCCATCAGCCTCAAATGAGTACCTGGTGCAGTTTGTAAATATCGCCACTGTGGAGACAAAGGCGGCCGGGCGTGGTGCTGGCCGGCCTTCATAGGTGCTCGCTAACAGCACTTGCCCCAACAGTCTGTGAAGGCTATGCGGGGGATCTTTGTCTTAGTTGCATAGCACGTGTGGGGCAGTAGTTGGCACATTGCACTCTGGAACATGGTGACCTGATTTTGATTCAAACTAATTATTTAGTGACGCTCCTGCTGCGTTGGCAGTGGCGCACAAGCGCAAAGAGCAAAAAACAACGAAACACATTTGTCACTAACACTGCCTTAAAATACCAAAAATATATAAATAATATGCGACATCCTTTGAAGAAGGGCTGTTGCCCAAAACGTCATGCATGGTTCCCTTTTAAAGCGGTGTTATTGACAAATGCTTTTTTTTCTTCAATCCCGGGCATGATTAGCATTTTTGGCGAGTGATATCTGAACTTTCCTTGACCTCCCCCTGAGTCAACTTAAGGGAGGTGGCACAGTGGCCCAGCGGTAGCGTATTTGCCGCTTGTTGCAGAGGTTCAATTCTGTAAATATTGTACAGCTCATTGGACAGCCTTGGTAACAAGCAACCGTGACCCATCATCAACGACGACCCCCAGCGACAGTGGGGGCAGCGGGGGCAGCACCAAACAACTCTTAAGAGCAGCCAGGGACGCTGAATCCCTGGGCATCCTGAAGTGCCATTCTGGACCGGTCTTAATAGATGCTCGCTAACAGCACTCGTCCCAATCGTCCATGCAGGCTGTAATAAGTGAGATCTTTGTGTGTGAATATCTGCGCTTCTGTGTGAATAAAATACCAGTGTTTATGATTTTATGCAGGCAAAATGAAAAAAAAATTTGGCACAATATATCCTGCCACTGCACGCAACTGCAATGTTGCACCGTGCTTTTTATGAGGGTTGCCTGACCGTGCAGTCGTGTTGGCTGAACCTCTGTGCCCTGAGCTAATGTTCAATTCAGAAGACGATCTTTGTCCGGGCGCAGTGCAAATTCTGTGATTTCCATCATCTCATTTGCTGGGGAAAATGCAGCGACTTCCGTCCCTTGAATGGGCCACGGTGGCAGGACTACAGTGGTGATGCGACAAATAAAAGCTAAGAAAGCAAAAGCGTTGACCCACAAGTAGCTCAAGGGGACCTATATTCATGACAACTAGGGGTGAACCAAATGTACATTGAAATGCCTGTGAACATGAATGCCAACCCCATCATTGCCTCTTGTTGACATCTGTCTCATTCCATCACATCGCTGTTTCATTTGCATCTCCCTTCTGTCATCTTGCTACATCTCTTATTTCTTGTTCAAAGCCTACGTGTTGAATCTATCACTTATGCGTCTAGATAAATATCTTCTGTCATCTCTGCCCAGGACCCCCCCCCCCACCACCAAAGGGCCAGCACCACCAATGCAGGACTCAATGGACCTTAAGTATTTAAATCGTGGCACAAATGCTGTGCACGGGCGGGCGGGCAGCCTAGTGTATGGGGCGTTGAGAATGCCGCTTGATTCCATTCAGCAAATGACGAGAAAAAACATGGGTGGAGTTTGCGTGGAGGGGGCAAATAAGGGGGAACCCCCCCCCCCCCCCAAACTGGACACCTTTATTATTTTAGTTTCAGTAAATATGGCTGTCGCCTGATGATGCTAGTTGTAATTACTGATGAAACGTCGTACTCGAATTGTAAATGTGGATTTACCCTCCAACACCAGTTAGTGCTGTACTAATAACCAATTGCCATGGTTTGTTTACGTGACAAACCTTACTAATTGGCTGTGTCGGGTAGTGGCGGGTTAACGACACATTTACGTGTACTAACCAAAAAAACCTATTAAGGTTAGTTTCAGTAGTTTACAATGGATATCAAAAAAATTGTATGCACCCGCATACCCCTGCCCCCTCCCCCCCCAAACTCAAACTCCGCCTATGGGGGAAAAAACAATCGCAGCAGAATAAAAATACAAACAGCATGGGCTGGAAAACCATGCATTTAAAATAACAAAAACAACAACAGATGGGTACACAAAGCACACAGCCTTTGTGCAAACATATAATAATCGTCAGCAGTTCCTGAAGAAGTACACGGTGGTCGTCCTGTCTCTTGATCGTGATCTGAGAAGAGCAAGCCCAGGACAAGGGGACCGCAGTGCACTCATTCAAGAAATGCTGACGGTTTTCGCACGCGCACAATGGCTGTGTGCTTAATACGCGTGTTGGAGTTGCGTTTAAAACTTGATGTGTGATTCCCCATCCCCCCCCACTCTTTCCAGTCCTCCTTCCCTTTTATGTTAATTATCTTCCCCCTTACCTCCCCCCCATATAATCTTTCACTTGTCTGCTGGAGACTACCCAAACCAAACCCTGCAATGCCAATCTCGGGGCTTTTGCTTGCGGGATTTATCCCCCCCCCCCCACCGCATACTTCTTATTCCGTGATCGGTGCAATGTACCGGCCTTGCGTTGACTTGAAATGAAAACAATTGAAAACTTGCCATGTAGTGATTTTGACAATGCCATCAACTCATTAGCCAGCCGCAAGTCCCCAGGACAGGACAGCATCACACCTAAGATACCGAAATGTGCGAAACCCGCCATCCTCACAAAACTCCATAAACTTCTCTGCCAGTACTGGGAAGAAGGAGCAATGCCTCAAGACATGAGAGACTCCAACATCATCACCCTATATAAAAACAAGGGTGACCGTGGGGACTGCAATAAGTACCCTGGCATCTCCCTGCTGAGAATCGTGGGGAAAACCTTTGCCCGTGTGTCCCTCAGCAGGTTACAGATACTAGTTGAGAGGATGTATCCTGAGGCTCAGTGTGGCTTCAGAGCAGGAAGGTCTACAATTGACATGCTCTTCTCCTTGCGTCAGCTACAGGAGAAATGTCGAGAACAGAGAATGCCCCTGTACTTGGCATTTATTCATCTTACAAAGGCCTTTGACCTCATCAGTGCGGGCGGCCTCTTCAAACTCCTCAAAGTGATCGGCTGCCGACCGAATCTGCTGGCAGTCATCTCTTCTTTCCATGACAACATGAAAGGAACAATACAGCACAGCGGCACCACCTCAGAGGAATTTCCCATACTAAGCGGTGTAAAGCAGGGGTGCGTGCTTGCCCCAACACTGTTTGGCATCTTTTTCTCACTTATGCTCATATGCCTTTGGGACAGCAGAAGAGGGAGCCTTGCTCCATACAATATCTGATGGCAAATTCTTCAACCTTGGCTGTCTCAGATCCAAAACCAAAGTCCGCAAAGTCCTCATCAGAGAACTATTCGCTGATGATGCCGTGCTGACAGCTCACACAGAACAAGGTCTGCAGATACTCAATGCCTGCAACAACTTTGGCCTGACAATCAATTTGAAAAAGACCAATGTCATGGGCCAGGATGTCAGAGACACCCCTTCCATAAACATTGGCAGCTACACCCGGGAAGCCGTTCAGGACTTCACCTACTTGGGTTCCACCATGACCTGCAATTTGTCCCTTGTCACAGAGATTGACACGCGCACTGGGAAGGCGTCTACAGCTATGTTCAGGTTGACCAAAAGAGTGTGGGAGAACAAATCTCTAACGCTCAACACCAAAGTACAGGTGTACCGGGCCTGTGTCCTTAGTCCTGGACAACATACGCCCATCAAGAACATCGACTAAACACATTCCACCTCCGATGTCTCAGGCGCATCCTCGGTATCAGATGGCAAGATCGCATTCCCAACACCTCAGTCCTCAACTTGGCCAACATTCCCAGCATCTACTCTCTACTCAGTCATAGGCGCCTGAGATGGCTTGGACACGTGCGCCGCATGCAGGATGGCAGAATGCCAAAGGATGTATTGTACAGTGAGGTGGCATCAGGCACACGGGCCACTGGTCGCCCAGTCCTGCGCTTCAAAGATGTCTGTAAACGGGACATGAAGAGCTGCGACATCACCTAGGTGACTGGGAGAAAACTGCCAGAGACCGAGTCAGCTGGCAGCAGGCTGTGAAAACAAGCCTCAGGAGACGCGAGAAGAAAATACACACTGCTTGGCAGACCAAGAGGGAGCGATCTAAAGAAAAAACAATAAATACATCTGGAGCTGCCACCGCATTCAATTGCTGTGGCAAGGCTTTCCACTCAAGGATTGGCCTACTAAGTCGTTCTAGGCGCTGCAAAACCTACAGCTGACCTCGTAAGGCGCAAAAGAATTGCCTCTCAAGACACAGGCCTATTGATTGATTGAGTGATTTCACTCTGTGCCTGCGTTTCGTGTCGTGGTGGGGGTGGTTGGTGGCGGTTGGTGGTTTTCGGTTGTGGTTTTCGGTTGGTGGTTTTCGGTTGGTGGGTGGCGGTTGGTGGTGGCGGTTGGTGGTGGCGGTTGGCGGTAGGCGGTGGCGGTTGGCGGTGGCGGTAGGTGGTGGCGGTAGGCGGTGGCGTTGGCGGTGGCGGTAGGCGGTAGGCGGTGGCGGTAGTCGGCGGTAGGCGGTGGCAGTAGGCGGTGGCGGTAAAACTGGAGTGGCCGGTTCAAGTGCCATTGCATGCCGCCTTTTCATTTTTTAATGCTCGCCGACGCAACTCGAAAGCGTCCGTTGTTTATATGGTAAT